GGTTTTTTTTTTTCCCTTGCCCCCCCCCCCCCGCCTATTTTATTACTTACCTTATTGTCATCACTGCCCCTTTGTGATTCTGGCTGGTGGGAGGGGTCAGCAGGGTGCTATACGAAGCTTCCTGAAACTATATCAGCACTCTGTCTCAGTACTCCTCTCAAGAGCCCTGATGCAAGCAGTGGGCCGGCTGTTGGGAGGAGTTATGCAAATATCAAAATGGGTGGGTGTCAGTCTGGAGGAGTGGGCGTTCCTAGGCAGGCCGCATGCAGGCCACCCTAGGTAACGTCCGCATGTGATGATGAGCCTCCATGATTGGAAGAACTGAAATCTAATGAATGGGGCGGAGCAAGAGACAGTCAGACTGGGGAGAAAAGAAATAGATGATGCTGGACGTCCTCCAGCCAGGAAATGGAGGGCTCGGAGTGACTTTCCGCAGCTTCCAATGCACGTTGCGAGAAGCTCGCAGTGTTATTTTGATATTGACTTTGTTTCATTCATCTGCGGATCAATGGCTCTGCTCGGGCTGTCATTGGACAGCTCAGACCGCAGGCACAATCTATAGAACCAATCACAGTGGCTCTGCATTCACTGTAAACCAATCACAGGTGCCAACACTGCCGGCGTTTACAAACATTCGGCCCATTCACAGCAGGGGAAGGGGAATGTTTCTGCATGGAGGGTCGGCGCAGAGCGAAGGCGAGGTCGGTGGGATTTATCGCGCGTCTGACCGCGGAATTATCATTTTGTAGTCTCCAGAGAACGGCTGTGAGAAGGATACTTGCACTTCACTCGCACCTTCTTCCCCAAACGGTCATTGCAGACCACCTCAATCATGGTGAGACCTGGGAAGGAAAATAAAAGAGAGAGATGAGACAAAAAGAGAGCGACGACATTCCGATGAGAGACAAGCTGTGGAGGAGGGCGACATGTTAACCCCGTACATGCCCGGGGACCTTCCATACCACACTAGGTCAGGTGACATCATCACTGCCCGTTCTGGCTTCACATCTCTCCACATCAAAGAGAAGATCTGCCTGAGACCCGGCAAATATCTCAACTATAGATGAGGCCGCAGAGCACACCGACGATCAATAACGTCATTTACAGACGGCACCACCCAGAGACGTCTCAGCATCGGACAGGACCCGGGCAAAGTGACAGGTACACTTGGAGCTGTGGCTCTAAACCAATGGTCTCAAAGAACCGGCCCGCGGGCCAATTGTGACCCCCCCGCGAACCGGTACTTTGAGGCCCGCAGCCAGCTCGCAAGTGTGGTACGCGGTCACGGACCAGGCTTGCGAGAGCAGCTACACGATCTGCATCTCTGTCGGATGCAGGCCGCATAGCTGCTTCTGTGGCGGCACTCGGATCCTTTCGGCCGGCGTCTTCGCTGAACGCTGGCCGAAAGGATTGATTAGTAAGGTCAGCAGACCTTACTAATCGCCACTAGATCACCAGGGATCAATGATGGTGGCTCACAGCCTCCTCCCTGCAACAAGTTAAGCAGGAGAGGGGGCTGTGTATTTCATTTTACATGTTGGTGTGCGGGGAGGGGGGGGGGAGGAGGACCTTTGGCTACCCACAGACATTTTAGTGCAAATCACACCAACAAGAGGTGAATGCCGCCATGAAAATGCTCCAGAAACTATAGAATCACCCGTCTTCCCGGAGCACCATGACGGCATGCAATTGGATTTAAATATCAAGGGAGGAATACAATTCCATGTTTATTTATTAAAGGAGAACTATGAGGTGAGCGAAAATCACTCCTCCTCATAGTTGGAGCCGACGTGCGACGGGAAGTGAGAGAACACAGTCACTCGCTCACTTCTCTATCCTATCCCTGCAGAGAGCCGTGACTGACTGTCACTCACGGCTCCCTGCAGGGATTCCCTGCCCGATCCTCCAGCGCTGACTGGCAGAACAGACAAGGGAGCGGGCGGGTACAGCTGCCTCTAGATAGGCAGAGCCAGCTGTCAGTCACGCAGCTGGTTGGATCCAGACAGCAATGTCGGGATCCGTCCCGGCTGCCTCAGTATATCACGGACTTAAACTGGGCATGTTGGGTATCGTTTTACTCGTTGTAACCTCATCTTTTATATTTCATTAAAAAAATGGGTAATTTGTTGTGTTTTGGGGCATTTAATTAAATTTGTCACTAAATTTTGGGGTTTAATAAGGAGTTGCGCTAATATTGCGCAACATAAAAATTTTCAACTACCACCATTTTATTCTATAGGGTCTTGGCATTCAGAAAATATATAATGTTGGGGGGTTTTACATCATTTTCAGGCCTAAAATGTGGAATATAAAATGGGTGCAAAAATGGAAAAAAGGGCCTCAGTCATGAAGGGGTTAAAGATGAATCATACTCGCTTCCGCTCCAGCGATGTTGGCACGAGCTCCCTCGTCAGCACCCAGATCTTCTACCCGGCTTCATCAGCCATCTTCGTTGGCTGGCCTGAGATGACGGAACTCCCACGCGCATGTGCGGCTCAGCGTAGATTAAAAAAAGGTGGAGACTAACAGGAAAGTTCCCTTGAATGCAAAATATACAGAAATGATACAATGCATCTCTTCTGTAACAATTCTGCGATTGCCCGCTATATGCGGAGAGCGCAGAGCCGCGACAGATCCCAACAATATTGTCTGTAGCCACCCCGCTGCCTGATTGACAGACCTCCCAGATCTGTCCCTCCAATGAGTGCTGGAGAAACAGAGGGGGGGATGGGGGAGAATTCTCTTCACCCTTCGACACTCCTCCATATTGATTACCTGTGCCAAGGTTCCCCTCCTCCGACCCCCTGCAGGACTTGGCGTCATCGATATCAGTGATCAGAACATTAAACCTTCTCTCTGGTGACAGTCGGGGAAAACACGGAAGGATAGTGACCTGAACTCACACTCTACTCCCATGGCGCGTCCCGACGAGGATGAAGATGACGCCGGGCCAGAACTACGCGGTCACCGTCGGGTCAGAGGTCACTTCATCCACAATCATAGTGCTGGAGCACAGAATGTTCCGGTACCTGACACAGCACAGTGTCCAGGACCCCGTGGGACGGAAACCTGGGACAGTCCCTCCGGATCCAGGATACTTAACAACTACACCGCCATCATGTGACAGCAATCAGGCCTTGTGATTGGCCACTTGGCAGTCCCTCCGGATCCAGGATACTTAACAACTACACCACCATCATCATGTGACAGCAATCAGGCCTTGTGATTGGCCACTTGGCAGAGCAAGGACCAGAGGGAGGCAAGTGGGGTGCACTGTGCCCCCCCAGGTGAGCCCAATGAAGGTAACATCCCTATCAGGGCTGCAATGAAGAGAACCTGTCAATGAGGGTGACAGCACTAGGCTACACTCCCCCACCCCGCCATCACTGCCCGGAGCCCCACACAACACCACAATATACAAACAAGAATCATTCCGTTACCAGTCCAACACCGCAATCACCAAGCAGCTGATTCCCCTCGCCAGGCAGATCGACTCTATGGTAAATATCCGCCGGAAGAGAGGCGCGCTGTGCAGCTCCCGCGTCTTCTATGATAATCGCGACGACCGCTCTGCACTCTTGGAGCCCCGCTCTATGGTTATCGTGTGTCTAGGACGACCCGAGATGTACACCAGGGGGCGCTCCCGCACCGGTCACCTGTAGTTGTATTTCCGCCTTGTGATGCCGCTTGTGACCTCACCAGTGTGTGTCCACAGAGTCTCCTTCTGGCAGGGTTGTCACCCTTTACTGCCATGCTTTCACAGCGCAGGTTTCCATTATGGGGTCCTGTAAGGGGGTCTCTAGGAGGTTTGGTTACTGTGTTCAATGGGGTCACTTAGCGATAGATTTTGATTGGAGAAGAAATATCTTCCAACCAGGAGACAGGACGGTGTCCCTAATGTGTAGTCCAGCTGACAATGAAATCCCCGAGCCCGCCCGTGTCATAACCTGGCCCTACCCTGGTCCCTGCTTGTGCAAATCTCTACACCAATGTAAGGAGCATTCTTCCCACTGACCACTAGGGATGGGCTTGATGTTGTAACCAAACGTGAGTTCGACACTGTGCCTTGTGAGCTCTGATTGGCTAAAGCCTTGCACTTGAAAACAGGTCAGGTGCAAGACTTTGCCCAATCATGGCTCACCTGTTTCAACTGTAAACAACAGTTGGGTGGAGCTAAATGTCACCGCTAGCTCCGCCCAAATGTTTATATGTTACCGGCATCTGTCAAATCGCCATTCTGTGGTGGGAGTTCGTCGTGAGCGGACGGGTCGGCGGGCGTCGTGTTTTTTTTTTTTATATTTCGTCGTCGTGAACAACGCTGGACGTCGTGATTGACGCTGGGTTACATCAGTGGATCCATTTTTAATTTTCTTTAAAATAAAAGACTTGTCAGAAATCCGTTAAAGGGGTACCCTGATGTCAATAAGCCCCCCTGCCCGCACCCCCATTACCAACGCCCCAGGGCTTGTGGGGTAGAGGCCCTCGTCCCCATCGATACGGGGACAAGGTGCTTTTCCATCGGCGACTCTAGAAAAGCACCCTCCCAGTGCCGAGGGCATGTGACCTTGTATGGGATGGGGCGCTCACTCGTCCCCCCCCCCTTTACGGCCCTACCAGGCCTGTGCTTGGATCAAGGGTCTTCTCCATGTTGGTCAACATTGAGGGCTACCAAAGGAGTGAGCTGTGCTTCTCCATGATGGTCAACATTGAGGGCCACCAAGGGAGGGAGCTGTGCTTCTCTGTGCTGGTCAGCATTGAGGGCCACCAAGGGAGGGAGCTGTGCTTCTCTGTGCTGGTCAGCATTGAGGGCCACCAAGGGAGGGAGCTGTGCTTCTCTGTGCTGGTCAGCATTGAGGGCCACCAAGGGAGGGAGCTGTGCTTCTCCATTTCCACCTTCATCCGGTCTCCTCCCAGGTTCGGAGTCTTTGGCCATCATGATTAGCCCAACCAAGATGGCCAAAGACTTCATAAACTGGGAGCAGACCGAATGAAGCTGGAAGTGTTTCCAATGGAGGGCAGCGTGGACACTGCTGGGGGTAACCGCATGCAAGTCTTCTGTGCATACTTCTACATTACGGCAAAAGCTCCGGTGGGGACCCAGACAGTTTTTATTCTTTATGGCGATTTACTTCCTTCTTTAGATCACTGGACGTTTTGGGGCTTTTACCTGCAATTTGGTGACGTCTCTCCGATGTACAAAGGTTTGTTTTGTTTTCCCGTCAGAAGGTGTAATTACATCTGACAATTTCTCTGCAATGAGTTTCATGAAACCGTGACTCAGAGACAGTCAGCCATTGTGACACCGGGTCACCGGGTTTGCTCAGCAGGTCTCCGTTCTTCTAGGACGGCTCAGCAGAAACCAAAAATGATCCAAAAATGTTCCCTCCCTATGAGAAGAATTCAGGTTTACACCTACGGCCATGGCTCTGATTGTGGCTTCTATCACGTGGTACAGCAGAGGTCTGATAAGGTTTCATATATCCCGCTCTCAATAAAAGTAGATGTGAACCCCAAATGAATGTCATTGGGGACCACATTTATAGAGGCGGGGTCTGGCCTTACGGTGACTAAAAGAAACAAGGGGGCGGGATAGAAAGAACAGCCACATGCGTTACAAATTGCACTGCACTTTGTGACTCCGGAACAGGTGGAACACCATTCCAGAATCCGAAAGAGTCAGGGGGAGGAGAACCCAACCATGTGACCTGTAAAAGTCATGTGACCTGTAACAGTCATGTGACCAGCTTCTTCTCCATAGGTCACCCCAGACCCCACGCCACAATCCACAGTAGTAACTATGGTGACCAGTGCACAGCAGATGGTGGTATCTGCTCTCCACTTTAACTAGAGCCCTTGCGTTGTACTGATACCGATAATGGTATCAGTGCCGAGTACTTGGGCAAGTACTCGTACTCACCCAAATGCTCTGATACCTAGCCTGTTACTCAAGCTTCCGGTATCAGGAAGCCGGGCAGCTAGTCATTACACACTGCCCGGCTTCCTGATTGGCCAGGAAGCCTGCTCCATGCTCCCTCGTCACTTGTGGCGAGTCATTACACTCCGCCTGGCTTCCTTAATGAGACTTCCGATTTATTATGTTTTACTTTATCACATTTTTATTTTATAATTCATCTTTTTTTTTTTTTTTTACCTAACTTTATTGCTATCACACAGGAGTTAACAAGCCCCTATGTGATAGCATTTGGAGGTGACAGGTTCTCTTTATTGAAACCTGTCACTTCCAATACAGGAGTTCTAGCACAGCACTACGAGTGCAGTTCTCCCCTCCCACTGTTTACACGGAGGGGGCGGATGTTCTCCGCTCTGTTCCCCGCTCTCCAACCTGAAGAGAGGATCTCCGGCCAGCGGGGAGAGAGGTGGGGGGGTGGGGCAGGAGGGAGGATGAACGAGCAGATTTAGCTCTGCTTGCCCAAAGCAGGGCTAAAAATGTACAAAACTACCACCCGCCCAGTCCCCGGAACGTCATGTTCCAGGCGTCGGGTGATAAGAACCCCTTCGCCCCTCTGCTTCCTGCCGCCCCTCTGCTACCTGCCGCCCCTCTGCTTCCTGCCGCCCCTCTGCTTCCTGCCGCCCCTCTGCTTCCTGCCGCCCCTCTGCTACCTACCGCCCCTCTGCTACCTGCCGCCCCTCTGCTTCCTGCCGCCCCGAGGCTGGGCCTTGCGGGAAATCCGGCCCTGCACACAGCCCAAACCAAATTCAGGCAGTGGAGGGAAATTTGTCTTATAAGCTCAAATGGCATTTTGTCAAGCACATAGAGAACCAGATACAGATCCCGCAGAGTCACTGGGGAACGAGTGGAGGCGACCACATGGGAAACACCCTTGTACAAAAGTCCTAATCGAAGAGTGAGAGATGCAGTCTCTGAAAACAGAATGGGAAGGGAGAACCCTGACCCTTAATAGTGCCGAGTGCCAGATGCTGGTCCAGACCTAGCTGCAGGAAAGAGAGATGTTCCTGGGGTGAAAGCCCCTAAAGTCACATATAATTAAGTTCCATGTCTGATGATACACCTTGCGGGAAGTAGGCACCCTCACCATGTGCATAGTAGGAATCACAGGTGCCCGTCCTTAAAACCTGGACTTCAAGAGCCATGTTATTAAAGCCATCTGTGACTCTGAAGCAGGGTGGCAAATTGGCCCTTGAGACAGTAGATCTGGAAGGTATGACAGGGCCCATGGTGCGTCTGCCTGAAGTCCTACCAGGTCAGCGTACCACATCTGGAACAATGAGGATCTCCAGAATGTCCTTCATTTTGATCCTGTGGAGCAGATGAGGAAGATGTTTCAGGAGAGAAAGACATACTGATGTCCCAGAGCCACAAGAGCATCCACTGCTGTGGGGAATCCATGCATCTAGATACAAATATATCCAGTTTGTTTTGTTTGGTTTAACCTGGAAGGAGGTCCACAACTGGTGCCCCCCACCTGTGACACAGGTCCTGAGACACCTCTGGGTGTAGGACTATTCTCATTTGTCAAGACGCTTCCGGCTGAAGAAATCTGCTAAATTGTCTACAGTATGTCTGGAATGTACATGGCTGACAAAGCTGGAACTGTGCAGTTCTGACCAGGACAGATGTCATGACCACAGAATGTTGTCTTACAGGAAAGAAATTGGGCAAAGGGAACTGCCTCAAAGGAGGAGCTAAAAGACTGTCATGGAGAAGTGGAGATAAGGACGACTTCTAGACTGAAGAGTTTGAATCTGAGACCGGAAAGTCTGAACCTTCTCTTGGGGAAGAAACATTCTTGCCTGAGAAGTGTCCAGGACCAGATCCTCCAATGAATGAATCAGTGTCAGCAATGATTTCAGAAGGTCCAGGATCCCCCCCAAACCTCTAACACCCGAGGTGCAAAGGAGAGATGGGCACATGTGAGGTGCACAGAAACCAATAAGTCTCCCTGGTGGAGGGCGGCCATGACAGATCTGGTAAATTCCATCTGGAAATTTGGGGCCGAATGTAAACATTTAGTGCTTTGAGAGAAATGCCCTCCTAGGGTTTGGGAACAGGTTGCAGTATAGCCCCTGGAACCATTCGCCTGTAGCTGGTGTGACAATGACATTTTGATCTGGAAGACCCAAGAGGGCTCAATGGGAATCTGATGATCTGTGCAGAGACATGAGAAGGTTGGAAGTGGGAAAACAAAGAGGGAGCAGGGAATGAAACTTGACTGTGTAGCCCTGGGACACCACCTCCCACACCCTAGCATCTGGAATGCAAGCTTTTCAAGCATCCACAAAAGGTGAAAAGACCCCCCCATCTGGAAACTAGGGGCACCTTTATGCCCAGGAAGGCTTGGAGTGCCAGACTTTGCAGGTACATGGGGAAACCAAGCTTAGGGGGCCTGAGCATTGAAGTGAAGGGAGAAGAGAAATGAAAAGACCAATAATGAAAGACCGTTAGGAAGATGACTTTGATGCCTGCTCCTTAGGCTTCTTCCCCTGGAGAAGAGGAGTGCTCCAACAGTAGCATCCTTCATGATATTATCAA